GTGTGTTTCTTTTTTTTTAATTCCAATTTGTCTTTTTACTGCAATGATATTCATCGCACAAATGAATAATATCATGTTTGTGATGAAACATCCTAAAATTGAAAAGGTACTGACATTTCAATTCCAACTGGCGTAACAAACATTCCACGTCCGGTAAAGTAGATAATCACAAATCACCGTTCAATGATTGCCTTGTGACCTTTTCACGTTCTCCTCATGAGTGGATTGATTTGTTACTGCTGCAATAAAGTGACAGATGTCCACAAGGCTGAAAGTGACATGTTTAAAGTAAACAAGGATAAGAGGCCACTTTGCACACTGGCCATCCGAGCCTTCTCATCCGCTCGTTGTCCCGTCTATAAACTACCGATGTGAAATTTAAACTAACCAGCAAATTTGCTGTCTTCCGAGCTTGAGACGCAGACGCTTAAAAGAAGTGGAATGTAGCCGGTGGATTAACCGTGATTAGAGATTATCATTCACGATTAATTCACGGAAAACTATGACGCTTCTGTGGTGATGTCACTACACTTGTAGCCTATCTCAATTCGAGCCGAGTATGGCATACTTGGGTTATGGGCAATGTCTCGCTTCAGTGACTTCTGTCTGAAATAGACTGCCAAATAACTCATGGCTCTGCTGTTATGCGTCTGAAACCGCAATTATTTGGGAATTCGGTGTGAAATTGGCTTGTGTCTGTTGCAGATGCTGTTGACAGCTCTCCATCTATTTTCTATACTGCTTATCCTGTTTACTGTCATGGTTCAGGGTGGTGCGTGTGTGTGTGTGTGTGTGTGTGTGTGTGTGTGTGTGTGTGTGTGTGTGTGTGTGGGGGGGGGGGGGGGGGGGGGGGGGGGGGGAGGGCTGGGGACGGGCATTCTGCCGCCAGCTGGCATGGTGTTGTCTCAGCAGTTGGACCAACGTTGCCCCAAGTGTGCGAGGGTCCCCATTTGAATGAAGCCACTGAAGCCCTTTAAGCACAGCTGCTGGCAAAGCATGTTACCATGGGGACACGTAAAGAATGTTATGTGTCACAACTCAAGGGTGAGTAAATTACCCCCTGAACAAACAAAATGGTGACACACACACACACTAAGCACAAACGCATAGCAATGTATACATTTACGAGTCTCCGCGGCTGATGATGTCACATGCAAACAAACAAGCGTCCATAAGCGCAATTCACCGTTGAAAAGGTGGGGAAAATACATGAGCGAGCTTTCCGCGCCGCAATCAAACCGTCACGAGCCGGGCCAGAACACGACAAGCAATGAAAACATTTCATTCCAGGAACGCTACTAACTTCTCCCCGGCACTTGGCGGGGGAGTAGCGGGGCCTGGCTCGGAGTCAGTCACTGCATTCACACACATTTCCAAATCCTATCAACAAAAGAGCGAGGGAAGAAGAAAAAAAAATCACAAAAGTCTTAAAAAGGGGGGTGACCGCTGTGAAAAGCATGCAAACCCCAGTGTAAGCCTCACTAAATCTCTCATGTCACATTCAAAACATAATGCTGCTGTGCGATCCCGTTCGTCTTTCTTGTTTGTTCCCCTCAGGACACAAACGACTAAAGAGGTCCTTCCTGGAAGCGTTGAGCAAGGCGCTCACAGATAAGAAGGAAGGTGTTTACGAAGGCATCGATTTCCATTCTTGTCCGGAGATCCTCAAGGATCAATTTGCAGGCCCCACCACATTAGCATCCACAGAGGCTAAATGACTCGCTTGTAAGCAATTATGGTCATCAGTGGACAGAGATGTGCCTGCTTTGAATGAAGTATCTGTCAATCAATCGCAATTTGAAGGGCGCGGGGTGCCCATGTGCTTGCTAACAATTGGATTTTTTTTTTCCAAAAATGTTAAAATACGACTGAGACGACTATGCTCATAGTCGAGTGACATGACGAGTGCTCAAACCTTTTAATTTTATATTCTAACTAAAGGTCTCAATTCCAAAAAAAAAAAAATGCTACATTATTTAGTAATTTATTTACATTAAAAAAATAATTATTTTTTTTCTTCCTAAGGTTAAAAATATATCTTTGATTTTATTTGCCTTCAGGATTTTTTTTTTTTTTTTAACTGTATTTGATTTTCTTCCCACATATATTTTATTTCCTCATCAAAATTGTGCCCGAAGCAACAGGTGGCGCCGTAAGCCTGAACGCAAGGAGCATGATTGCCAATCAGGAGCCCGGAAAAAGGTGACAGGAGGCAAAACACTGTCGATAAAGCCAAAATCGTGGCCGCAGAACAAACAGAGCGCACCATTCATGCCCGCCGTACAGCCTCATCATTCACCGGCGTGTTCATCTCACTTCATTCGCACACACAGACACACACACACACACGCACACACACACACACACAAAACGCTTCCGCCGAGTCTCCCCAGCGCCACCAAACGTCAAGTTTGCCGAGCGAGATTAAGCATCAGCGAGGCACGATATTGACAAGGCCGTGCTCCCTCGTAACCATAACACCACGCCTGACGGACGGGGAGGGTGGAGGTCATATGTCAAAAAGTGACTCGCTTATAAAGCCTCCTGCCCGGCCCGCGACCAGATCGGATTATCCAACTCCTCCTTGGGGACTCAAATGTTTACCCTCTTCCCTCACCGGGGACCTCGACGGCGGTAATGCACACTAATGGGCCAGTTTTGACGTCAAAGAGCGCACAAGAGTGCGGGAGTGAAGCGTTC